CATTGCCCTAGAGGCAGAGGAGAAGTGCTTGCGTGGTGTGAGGTTAAGTGACGTGCTTACGATTGCACGCAGGCACGCACATCCTGTGCGTGTCTGAACTGACCAACAGTGACTGGCTGTCGCCAGACAACGGGTCCATGTCCCACAAGTCGCCACGTGTGGGGATTATACACCTGTGTGGAACCGCACGAGATCACGCAGTGACCCTTCTGCGCCCTGATGTTAGGCCCCTGTGTCGTTTGCCACAGTTCCGTCCCACACGTCGTGGCCTCCCGTTTCCGAGGCATGGAACCGCGCCATTGCGATGATGCACGTCATGATGGTGGACGCGATGCTGAGCACGCGCCGTGGATCACTGCAAGCGGAACAATGCCGCGTCGCCCCGGGTGTCCAGATCGCGCAGCACCGACCTCCGGACCCGGGCCGCCTCGCTACTCAGTTCGGACCGCTCCCAATCGATCTCCAGTAGCAGCTCTCGGCTCTCGCCAAACAGGTTCAAGATCCGCTGGCTGGCTTTGCACGGCCCGGCCAACGTGCCGGCGGCGAGGAACTGACACAAGATGTGAAGGACAGCCAGGTAACCGTTTTTCCGTGCCGAAAAAGGTTGACCAGAGATATCATCAGCGTGATCTAAATAATGATGGCAGCCGACATGCTTGCGATCGGCTCCGCTGTCACGGCGCTCGTGAGACGAGAGAAGTTTTGTGAGGGACGCCTCTGCAGAAGGCCAATCTGCTGGAGCTAAAGACAGCTCGGCTGGCGACCCACGACGATCAGGGCCCTGATCTCGGCGTTCACGGCCTTGTAGCCGGTCGTCAACAGGTTTGCGGCAAAACACGAACTTGAACGGAATCAGCATGGTTCAGAACGAGCTGATGCCGTACAGCACGGCAATTGTCAAAGCCTCTGTGCGTTAAGAGTTAGCACCTGGCAGCTAGGTAAGCCTCCACTGATGACAAACGAAACGGCCATGGTGAAAGCAGCTAAAGAAGCATGCATGATGTGCAGATAAATGGCAGTCTGTTTGGACTTGCTGATCTTTTCAACGTACCGTAGCATCTGGACCATTTGATGGAGACAGGCGTGGACATGACCCACAGCAGATTGGTAGCGTTGCCGTCCCCAAGTAAACACAACGGTAAAGGCAAGCCATCTTATCACAAATGAAGCCTTCGCGCCACCCCTGTGACCTGGCCAGGCCGCTGGGTCGCCTCCCCGGCGCCGTCTCCGTCTCCGGCCTGACTGCAGGCGCGCTGCACCATAGTGACGTCACAACAACTGATCCCGATGCGTTGGGTTAGCCACTACGCGTGCTTCCGTCGCCGATAGCCTGCTATGCTGGCAACAGCGCGTATCAGATGGATGGCTCCAGCTTCAATCCACCACCAGCCGGCTACCACCAGCGCGGCGCGAGCTGCTCTCTGGCGGCGGCTGTGTGCTCGGGTGGAGATCGAGGCGGAGAGAACCCGTCCCGCGGCGTGGGCTGCTCTCTGGCGGCAGCTGTGTGCTCGGGCGGAGATCGGGGCGGAGACAACCCATCCCGCGGCGTGGGCTGCTCTCTGGCGGCGGCTGTGTGCTCGGGCGGAGATCGAGGCGGAGAGAACACGTCCCAGCCGCGTACGAGTGCACCGTCCTGATCACCGTCCCCCAGCCGTCTCACACCGTCTCCCATTTGTCTGGGCCGCGTGCCAGTGGCGCGCCCTTCGGTCACCAGGGCCATGCAACGCTGCTGCGCCAAGCCGATATGCGATGTGAATAAAGCTGTTTGCGATGCAATTTATTAGCCGCTGTGGCCGTCGCGAATAATCTTTTAAACATGCTCTGACAGCTGGCGGCAGCAGGGATGATCGCTGATCTTGCGCATGCTCTGACGGCTGGCGGCAACAGGGATGGACGCTGATCTTGCGCAAGCTCTCAGTGGGGAGGACGCTAATGACGTATTGTGTGTGCGGGCTCTTTTGAAGGCTCCACCACTTGCCCCGTTTATATAAGTCGACCAAACGTGTTCTGTTCTCACCGGCTGGACCTTAGCTCGACTCGCTTAGCTGGATCTCAGCTTCCGAGCCTCGCGAGTAATAGTCTCGTCGTTCCAGGATGAGACTGCGCTGACCATGCAGACGAGCTTCCATCGTGTCGATAATAGTAGTCAGGTTGGCATTCGGAGCGGGCTGGAAACTGTACAGAACTGTCCGTGTCCACTCGTCGTCATGCAGCGACATCAGGGCCGCCTTCATTTCCGCGACGAGCAGTCTCCAGACGGGTCAGGAGTCAAGTCGGTGAACCTCTGGTGCCATGCGCCGAATTCCTTGAGGGTCACGGACGAGGTCAGGTGTGCTGCGACCGCTGCTGGCTGGAAAGCACTCGCTCCAGCATGGAGGTGAGCCGCTCCTCCCGCTGCGCCGCATGCTCGGATTGCTGCATCATCAGCTCCGCCGAGCGCTCGGGCTGCTCGCCTCCACTTATGACTGATGCGAGCGGTCCAGCATGACTGCACGTAGGTCGCTGGTGACTCACTACCGCTTAAAATCGGCTTTACGCAAGCACACAACCGATTGTCGTGCCGACCGCGCATGTTCTGTTCTCATCGGCTGGATCTAGGCCAGACTCGTATATTACCTCATGACAGCGATCCCCACGCGCGGCCGTCCGGATGAACACTGCCGCGCAGGCTCGGGTGCGATTTGTCTGGTGAGAACAGAATAAAATGGGCGATTTTACGGCGGTCGTAAAACGACGCGTTTTCCGCTCCTATAAACGTGCTTAGCGTCACCGTGACAATCACGTATTGTATCGTGAGTTTACGATGACGGAAGGTGAATTTACGATCCGCGTAAATCTCACACAATGATACGCAACGCCTGCCTGAACATACATTTTTTTGGAAAGGGACCCAGGGCTAATAAAAACTTACAAAATAAGAGAATAACAAGCAAACAAGTTTACTGCAGTCTAGTTGGCTTCACTTCAACCTGAAGTTTTCTGAGTTTTGAAATTTGAGCATGTCCCCATCGTTATTTTCTTTCATCGTTATTATCTCGCCTTGTGTTTCCGGACTGTTCACCAAGCTCGCCAAGATACAGCTGGCCTGTCAGCGTTGATGCTTCATGCGTTTTTTGTGAGTGTGCAATGCAATCGCTACAACAAGAGAGGATGGTGCTGGCGATTGTTCAGGAGAACAGACTTTTGTCGGCCATCGACGTAAGAAAAGTGCGAAACGCGCAGGTTTAGTATGATCATGTGGCACGCCCACAACAAGTCCAACAAAGAAACAGAGAAAGCGTAAACTGCAATGTGATTGTCAATTCAGTGCGGCTGACGGAGCTCGACAACCTTTAAAGCTTCGTGTTCGTACCATGTTTACTACAGCGTTTCGTGTTTTTTCGCATTCTACATGTTTTAATTGCAAGGTTCACATGTCTTGTTAACTCTGGTATAGTTGCGTGTTATTGCCTGAATGTTTTGGAATCATTCATCAATGTTCAAGTATATATACTGCAACAAGCTGCGATCGATACAATATTTCACCACGACGCGTTATCGGAGAATTAAAACATACCGGTCGAATATGAGCAGCCAAAAACGTAACGAATTTACTAGACGCTTCGTTCGGAAGTATCCTTGAGATGTGCCACCTCCACTTCGACGTGGGTATTCCACGAAACAGTACGAAATCCTGCCGATGGACACCACGCGACAACACCGACAGCGCAAATCGTCCGACAATGATCAGCAAAACAACAGTAATTCATGACAGCCTTGAAAAGCCGCGCACAACAATTCGCATCCTTTGTTTCCGAACCAATTTACGTTCAACAACGTCTAAAGCCACATAACATCGACCCAGCGTGGGTTGCCGAAATATGGTTTCGACCAACAAGACCCAACCAATGATAACGATGCCAAACGACACCATCCTACGGCGAGATAGAGCGCGGAAATATATTCCTATTCAGCTGGCGAAAACTCTCTGACTCTCTAGCTTTGGGAGGAAATTAGCTCAAATCCGAGGTGAGACCTGTGTTTAAGTGTATTCTAGGGGAACGTTTAATCATTTTTCCCGCTCAGTGCCCCAAACCTGTTTTACGAAACTAAACCTCTGTGGTGGAGGCTCCATGGCCGCCGTACGCGACAGATTCCCACCACACAGTACCTCTCGCCCGTTCCGAAGCACCGCTCTAAAGTGGAAAGCGCCTGAGTCAAGAGGCACGTGGATCGAAATCACTGTGAGATGATCGCCAGCTGGCACGCGGCGATGTCACATTGGCGATGGATTCATATGAATGTATGCTCTTGAGCGATCGAAAGTGTTTGACCAGATGGAGGTACAAGGTGGGTCATCCGAGCAAGTCTGAGGTGTCCAGGACCAATGAGGCGGGCGTCCTGTGCGGTGAAGAGTGCCTGTGTAGAAAGAGTGCTCACAATAGTGAAGTGTCCTCTGCAGAAGAGATCGACTGGAACGTGTTCTAGAGCAATGGAGGGGCCTCCAATTCAAATGGAGGGGCCCCCCCTTAGCTTCGAGTGCCTCGGTGCGTTAATTTAAATGGGCCCCAGCAATAGCACAGGTCTTTCCGAGCAAGTGGGAAAAACCCGAGACCGATGTGAAGGGTCCCTGGGCAACCGAGAGTACCCCGTCTGGTAAACGAATGGGCTCCCCAGCACTAGCGTAAGAAGCCTTTCGAGTAAATAGAAGGAATCATTGGAGGGCCCGTGATCGATCAAGAGTGTCCTGGCAAGTTAACATATTGTCAACAACAAGCAAGATATCGACAACAGCGTAGGGCCGTCCAAGCAGATGCTGAGAAATCAAGAGCAGCGCGGAAGGCTCCTTAGCGATCGGATTGACCCGGCAAGTTGACACATACTGCTTCCAACAGCAGCGTAGGGACCCTAGACAGCGAAATAAGCCTGAAAACCTCGCGAATACCCACTCTCTCAACCAGCGAAAGATTAGTTTTTGCCTGTTCAGAGGCTCTTTAATGTCATTTACGTGCGTTCCGTACCTGGCGTACCATCCGGTACGGAGGTACCTGAGCGATCCGACGCCTGCGCCGCAGCAACCGACCGTGACCGGACCAGGACCCCGCCGCCGTCCGTTCACGTGCACCCACCGCCCTGCCATAAGTCAGCGAGCACCTCGTGGTGTGCCGGCACGGACCGACTGTGGCCCGTGGCCTTGGGCGGGCGAGCGGGCACGTGCTTAAGACTTGCGTAGCTCCAGGAGACCGTGCGCGCAGATAGGGCAGGTCGGTTCGACCACAGCCGCAGGCTCCCAGTCAGCTTTTCATAGGTCCGGCCGGTCCCAGGTGGACGGACTGGGTGGGGGGAGGCCGGGTGCCCAGCATGGCCCCAGATGGCTTTACAAAGGTCCTTACAGCATTTTTGTTGACGGGCTGCGGCGTGGCCACTACTGGGCTGTCTGCCCGCTGCCTAGCTGCGCGCCACCCGGGCACATGCTGGGCGAGTACATGAACATCAGCTTGGCTTGGGCAGGCGCTGGGCTCCAGCTGACACCCGGTCAGGACCCAGCTGTTATATACGCTGCGTTCCAGCTGGGCACAAGTCCGTGCCAGGGTTGGACCCAGGTGGACTGGAGGCAAGAAACCAGCACATGCGGAGCATGACACACGCTGGGCTTGAGAAGGGTAGAAGGTGGACTTCAGCACGACGTCATCTGGGCTCATCCCAGGGGATGGCCAGGTTGCCCAGGTGGGGCTCAGCCGGGCTTGGCCTTTTTTGTTCAGACCGTCCAGGGATAATTTCTCACGTAGTGCACTGCTGATGCCGCTACTTGACATTTTCAGGCTCGAATGAAGAAGTAAATGCTTGGAAATTGAGGACTGCGGGTGTCGATTTGTGATATTTTGAGAGGCCCTTCCTCTTATGGAATCGCCTTCCCCCCAATGATGAGTTGCTCCCCGCCATGTTGACTCGGGCCCACTAAATGTTTTTGGCCTAAAATATCATTTTTGGGAAGGATTTCCAGGGGGCTTCTGAACAAAACGAGACCTCAAGGTGGTGGTGGGGGGGGGGGGGGGGGGGGGGGGGGCTCCTGGGCAGTGCCATATTAAAGGGGAGCAGCGCCGAGGAAATATGCTCCCTTATCAAATTGTTAAATGCATCATATCTAGGTAAATAAATGTTGACACTTAACAAAATCCAATAAGGGGCCTTCCGACTACTCACCTATGGGTCTCCACCATCCTAAAACAGGTTCTCCTGTTCCAGAAAAGGGCTTGCTGATGCATAGAGAGACCTCTTAGTCCAGAACAGGGTGCTTCCAATTCACGAAGGAGCCTCCAAATCTAGCCAATGAGCCTCATTATCTCCAAACAGGGTATCCTGAAGCGGAAATACGGTCATTTGATACATGAAAAAGTCCTCCTGTTTTAGAAATGGGGCAGGCACCACCTTCTCAATAAAGGTGGTGCCTCCTAACTCAGAACAGGGGCCTCCTGGTTCCTCCTAAGGGCCTCGCTCGACAGCATAGGGACTTCCTTACCACAATGTTGAGTTTACTGATCTGAACTGTGGGCTACCTTGTTAATAAACGTGGCCTTACGATCCAGGAAAGCGAGCCTCTTCATGTCGGAAACGGCCTTCTGAGCCCAACTTATTGCCCTCTAGCCCAGTTATGAAGCCTCCTTGATCGCAACTGGGTTATCTTCGGGTAGCTACAGTGCCTTTCGTTTGGGTAAAAAGGCCCCCCTTAAATTTGGAGGGGGCAAAAGCTTTCTCTTGTTCACGGTGCCGCGTCGCCATCGGCGGTGAATATTGCTCACCATCGAACTACAGGAATGCGGGACTTGACGTGTGTACCGCGCGAGAGCAAATCGAGGCTTGACCGCGGCGCGTGATGGTGCTGATATGTGGCACATAGACGGCAGAATCATCATACGATGCATTCGATTTCTGTCGTATACTGGGCGCTTCAGCCTACAGGTTCGGTTATTCTGCATGGGCGTCTTTGAAACTTAAATGTATTCTTCCAATACTTGTTTGTCTGGTATGTGGCGTGTTTTGGAAACTTGAACGTCTTGGAAGGCTTTTCGTGCGTATTTTTCAGTCATCATCGGTGTGCTTTCACAAAACCCGTCAGCCAAAGCGCTCATGTGACCCTTGGGGGCACTTTTATTTCTTAAGAACATCTTTGCCGCCCTCGTGACACCTTCAGCCGCCGAGGACGCACTTTTAGTGTACTGAGACACTTATCCAGAACTGGAAGCATCATGCCAGTCCTTATGGCGTTCTAACCCAATGGGCAATTGACGGACTTTACGGGAATGACTACATAGTTTTGCCCAGGTTTTTCCCGTCTGCTTAATACTCAAGAGTATTTTCCGCCCCACGGGCAACTTTTGAGCATTTGGCTGACACCCCAAGATTGTTTCTTGAATATGTCCTTCTCACCATCGGGACACATTTCCAAACCTCAGGGATGCTGTCACAATCCTAATGGGCGACTCAATTTGGGCGCCCTTCTCTTCTCTTCTTTCTCGGAACATGCTCCTCCCCAAAAGTTATTTCACTCTAAAAAAAATGGTTTGCATACGTCAGTTGCACCCTATGGGCCAAGCAGGAGCCCCTCCAGATTTTGGGAAACCCAGCTCTTCGAGGGGGTTATTCTAGTCCTCGAAGCACATGTTCACCCCCTAGTAACCTATGTTGAGTCCTCATTGGCGCTTCTTTATGGTGCGAGACATATTTTCATGCTTAAATGTGTTTTAGCCTAGACCTCAGGGCATATTATCATCCCACAGACACCCCATTTAAGCTCTCAGGCATATGCCGCCAATGTTTGGGACCATTTTATTTTTTAAAGGCCTGTAATCCTGTAATCCTGTAATCGTGAATAGGCGGATGTAATCTCAAGACACGTTTTGGATGCTAGCGGTAAACTTTGAGCCATCGGCCTCACTCCCAGCGTTTGAGCCACCCTTCTATTGTTTGAAACATTACGGTTGAGACTAGAAAAGTCCGCATCGTCGTTGCTGCTGACACGATCGTTGTACATAAGCGTAGCTCGCTTGGAATATTCTCACTTTCCATGGCTGTTTTTCCTTCTTGGGACGAGAAAGGGGTACATGACTAGATTGACGAATACCGCGCTCGCATTTTTCATGATTGTGGGAGAGCTGAGAACGCAAAAGCCTTGACTCACGTTGGTGAATGCTTCGTGTAAGAGGCATGTATGAAAGAAGTCAATAAACTTTTGAGCATAATGGCAATCAAACCGTCGCAGGAAACATGACCAAATTTACGTCGTCCGAAGATCAGCCTGGCCACAAAGTTCAACACAGTCTATAATTTGACAACAGTTATGCTGTTCGTGTGTCCATAAACTTGAGCGCAGTAACTGGCAAGGAAGAACACAAGCGCTTCAGTAATGCGTGACAGGAGACTGGCGGGAAACACGTATTTGACATTCAGAAGAGCGACAAGGGTGCCAAGATCAACGCCAAATGACATGGCTCATATACAGATCCCATGGCATTGCATAATCCATGATCACGCCTACATTTTTAACGCCGTCTGAGCATCGCCGACACTTATCCGTAGACGCGACAGCGGGCGACTCAAGGATCTGGCCGAGTTGGCGCCTGACTCCTCATGGTAAAAATTCCGCCCTATCAGCTTTAGCCATCATGCCATGCTGGAAAAACCACGTGCACGTTATATCCAGGACAGTCTCCAAGACTTGCCGCAGATTTGACAGCCTGCCACGTGGTTCAGTGACGGCGATAACGTCAGTTACGTCAGTTCAGTTAACGTCAGTTCGGTTACGTCAGCGTAACGGATGCCGTTACACGTCAGCCAGTAATGTCTGACGGTACGTGGTCAGAAGTTCATTACTTGTTGCCTTGTAGACCGAAGGGCCGAGAAAGGAACCCTGGAATGCGTCATTACTGATGTTCAATGAATTAGAAAGCGTTTTCCCGCTCTCACGCGCCGCGCGTGGCCGTCCAGATAGCTCTTCATTCATCCGTTTAAATATAGGCCCACTGGAGCTTCGTAAAAAGGGTAGAGTGATTCCCCACATAGCGATTCCCCACAACAGCGGCTTATGTATGTAAGAAGCATTCCTTCGGATCGGCCGATGTCATGCAAAATTTCGCCTTTAACACTTAAAGGAGGATACAGGTTGAGTGACATTCCATGGATCTGTGCTGCACGGCGCTAGAAGGCTTTGGTGCCTCAGATAAAACGTGAATTATTGGTGAACGAGCTTTTCCACAATTTTGCATATAGCTGAAATCGGCGCGATGGACCTAAATTTTGCAGCTGCACACGGATGGTTTGTTATGAAGTGATATTACAATGACGCTTGTCCAGCTAACAGGCACCATTTCTGAGACGGTACAGTATTTACAATGCGGAGCAAGATCCAACCGATCACGCTGAAACTGATTTTCAAGATGTTAAGTGGCGTGTCACATTCCACACTTGATACCTTGTTTGGTTGTGAAAATTCATTGCACCCGTGCTAACACGAGGGAAACGGATGCGTAATTTTTCGCGTCCCAAACGACGAAAGGCGGAGATGGCCTTGCCCTGAGTCTCGGGATCGATGGAAACAAAAAGACATTCAGTTTGTCCGGTGTGAGATTCACAGGTTAGATGGGTAGGCCGTTTAGGTGCTATGGCAGGCTGTAGTTGACAGCACGTCATCGATGGAGGTGCACAATTTATGCGCTGGATGACCACTTCTCGCGAGCATCTTGTAATGGTTCTAATGGCTGTTGGGGGGGGGGGGGGGGGGGAGGGCGGGGGGATTGCTGAAGGCTCTCACCCGCAACTGAACAGGAAAAAACTATACCCTAGAGCGAGGAGATCGCAAGGAAGGTCACGCACTCGAGTGCTCGTCACATTGTTTTTTTTTTTTTTTAAACAGGTCGGACGGCTCGGGACAGCCTTTTTCCGCGAGCGAGTGGAAATCCTTCCAGCGATGCATCTTGCAACTTGTGCGCAATGTGAGCGCGGTCACGTGACCGTCTGCAGTACTGCGCTGGGGCTCTGGCGTGGGGCATGCGATGTCTAGCACGCGCTGGCCTGGGCCACCGCGCGCCAGATATCTCCAGCACACCGCAAACTCCCTTTAACTGCCGCCCGATGTCGACACCGGTCACCACGACAACAACGGAAAACGGCGCGGATGTGTTCGTTGGGTTTCTGGTTTCCAATAATTATGTGAGATATTGCAGAAGAAATGTAAAATCTAACATTGCGAAGTTAAGTTTATGTGATGAACTATTATTAAAATGGCACCCCCAAAAAGTATCAGTTCTACCAATGTCGTACCCACGGCTCCCATTACTCCACAAACAGATGGCCTCACGGGGACGACGTCGGGCTGCCGTTGGCCTTACGTCGGGATGGCGTCGGCCTTACGTCGGAGCGGCGTCGGCCTTACGTCCGGGTGGCGTCAGCCTTACGTCGGGGTGGCGTCAGCCTTACGTCGAGGTGGCGTCAGCATTACGTCGAGGGGCGTCAGGCCATTACGTCGGGCTGCGTCTGGCACTTACGTCGGGCTGCCGTCGGCCTTACGTCGGGCTGCGTCGGCCTTACGTCGCGGTGGCGTCGGCCTTACGTCGAGGTGGCGTCAGCCTTACGTCGAGGTGGCGTCAGCATTACGTCGAGGCGGCGTTGGCCTTACTTCGGGCTGCCGTCGGCCTTACGTCGGGGTGGCGTCGGCCTTACGTCGGGGTGGCGTCGGCCTTACGTCGGGCTGCCGTCGGCCTTACGTCGGAGTGGCGTCGGCATTACGTCTGGGTGCCGGGTTGTCCATTATACTGGGATGCCGACAGCCGGCTGATGTCGGCCCGACACAAGCATGGCGCTTACGACATCTCGATGTCACCTGACGTCTGCTAACGTCGACATGTACGCTGGGCTTGCAGTGTCTCCAAAACGGAAATTCTCGCAAAATAAATGTTAATGACACAAAACAATATTTCGTTGAGACAATTGGCCGTTGCCAGCTCATGTCCCGCAAATCCCAAGC